TGACTCGTCATTAATGGTCGTATATCCATGGACACGAAAACATTCTGCAGTGAGAAGAGTGCAACTGCGGGTCTTTAGTGGAATGACCCGTAGTTAACGAATCTAGCTTAACTCGGTAAATGAGTTTGACCGATTAATCTTGCATCGTTGGAGCTTCGGATCTGTAGGTCCATTAGGTCCACTTGCTAGCTCATAACGGGTAAAACGAGGATCAAGTTTTTGGAAGAATTTGAATTGTTCAAATTACTTAAGGGATTATATGTATATTGATATATTATAATATATAGTTAATTATAAATTAAAACTATATATTATGAGAGAAAATTATTTGAATGAGATTCAAATAAAATTAATATGAATAAGATTCATATTAAAACTATAGGTTAAAAATAATGTGCATAAGATGTACATTAGAACTATAGGTTATACGAGAGAAATGTTATACAATATGATTCTATTTTTGTGATAAATAATTAAGTGTTAATTATTTATTTGATTTATATATATATATATATATATTAATTATTAATTGGATTAATAATTAATAATTATTTGTTAATTAATATGATTAATTAATAAATTAATTTTTATATTTTAATTATTATATATATATGTTATATATATATATTAATTATTTATATATAAATATATATATATATATATATTATTAATATTATTAATATTAATAATATTAAACTCCCTTGCAAAATTGGGAGTGGGAGGTTAGTGTGACGTGGGGAGTTGTCCCACGTCACTACTTCTGTTTTGTTTTTGCAGTTCTGCAAAAAACACAGAACACAGAAGAAGGATACCCACCCGTTTTCTCTCAATCAATAAGAACTCTCTCAAACTCTCCCTCTCGTTTAAAAAGGATTGCTCCCACCAGCACGATCTCGAGACCCAAGAGGATAGCGAGGAAGAAATAGTGGTGGTGTTCGAGGAAAACTAGTTGAAGAAACGTTCTTCAAAGGTAAAGTTTCCTCTGTATTTTCTTACTTTGTAATTCGATTTTGTATCCCGAAAAACAGCAACGAAAATCCGTTTCCGCTCCGGGATTCACATCCCTTCACGAGAGCGATAAATATCGAGAACGAGATAATCTCCAGTGATTTACAATTATCGTGAGTGTGCAATAGGAAGAGCGAAATCAAGAATCATCGTGATCGATACAATGAACTTGAAAAAGCCAGAGCTAGAAATATCGAGAGCTAGAAAGATCGAGAGCGAGAAATATCGAAAACGAAAGAAGCTCCATTGATTTGCAATTATAGTGTGTGAAATAGGTAGAGCAAAATCGAGCAACATCGAGATTAAGAAACATCGAGATCGAGAAAAATTACAGTGTTTTACATTTTGTATTTCAACTAGTTGTGTGTTTCCCTTTCCCTATCTTCTTAATCCGTGATTATGTATCATGTTCAATTATTAAATTTTTGAACTAGCGTGTTTCCGTTTCTCTATCTACTTAATTTGTCATCATATATCTTGTTCAATTTGTTGCAGGTGCACAATGGACCATTAGTTGAGGATTAAGGAGAATGGCCGCTTTCTGGCTCAAGCTACCAGCATGTCTCACTTGAGCAATGTCAACAGGCTTATCAAGGATAAGCTCACAGCGGACCAACTTGATATGTTTCGTAGAAGAACAATATTTGGTCAATTTGTCGACTTGGAGATGATGTTCTGCAATGGTGTAGTTCATCACTTTCTGTCAAGGGAGGTTGCTAGGTACAGTGACGACAGCATGAGATTCTTAATTGGTGGCAACGTGTTGACATTCTCGAAGGATCAATTCATGCTTATAATGGGATTGTGGCGGCTGCCCGGTAAGGTGGTCCAGAAAAAGATTGGAAAGAATAGGTTGCAGAGGAAGTACTTCAACGATGAAGCTTCCATGCTGCTCGAAGAGTTTGTGAGGTTTACAAGCAGACTGATTTCGAGGACGATGAGGACGTCGTTAAAGTGACATTAATTTTGTACACGGAGCTTGTGATGATGGGAAAGAGCAAGAGCAAGTCGAAGGTTGACATCGACTTGTACAACCAAGTCGGTGACTTGGACTACTTCAACCATTTGGACTGGGGTT